CATCACTTCCTGTTACTTTTCATATAAATATCTCAACAAATGTTTATCTCAGTGGTGTTTTTTATTTATTATTTTATTTTATCATTATTTTTTGCTATCAATGTTATCTTTTCAAAAAAATTATTAAATGTCACCGGCACTTTAAAATTCTGCTATATTTACATGCTATCACTGTTTACAACAATGTCAAACAAATGCAAGTTTTATTTTTGTATATACAGTATACATTCCTTATAGCAAAACATATTGTGGTTTAGTACTTAGGTGGTCACAGAGAGGGTACTTATTGGGATTAACAACCCAATTAACAAACCTGGGAGATTACCAGTGCGGCTTTGAATTAAGGTGCTTATGTTAGTAATATAAGAGAAATGGGGGTAAAAGCAAGGTTACTTGTGATAGTAATAGAAGCCAGCAGAATACCATTCAGTTTGTTTTATGAATCCTTCTGTTAATTTCTGCCTAATCTTGCTGACAAACAACAAACATCACCTTTGCCTCAGCCTTCATGTTTGTAGATAAACTGAACCAGCAGTCTTCTTGGTGAAGGTGACATCATTTTAAATCACTAAAGCCAAAGCAAGTGAGCTGCTGTACATTAAACTGTAATTATGCGCTTTTAGATGCTTTAGATTTCAACTCTGCAGCAGAGAGACTAATTTGTGTCTCGGTGACAAGAGAAGAAAAGAAAGGGATCATGGCTGAACCACGCTGCGTGTCACACTCAGACAGGCATCAGCAGCTGCAGGCATGCCGGCACACTTCGACACATCGGCTGGCGAGAAATCCCTCCATGTGTCTTTCCCATCTACATGTACACACACAGGTGTAAATTACGTTTGGGAAATGGGACATACCTTTCRACAAAATGTCACGAACAAGCCCCTTAAAAAAGCCATCTTTTCTCCACGGTGAGCTCTTCACAGCATGTGCACATGTGGGATTGACTAGTCCTTCATTAGTCCACATATGTCCCAGCTTTGTTTCGCTGAAACAGAACTGACATCAAGTTTGAATTTGAGACGTAAACTAATGATTCAGGGATTAAAAAACACATATGGAGCTACTCTTATAAAAAAATGTAATTAATTTGAGAATTTATCATTACCTGGTAGCAAAATGTGGAAAAACAAATCCTCCTGTTTGCCAAATTCTCAATCAACACTGGTTTTGTGTTGGTTGTCTTTAAAACCTGTGGAGTCTCCATCAGTCAGTGGCAACATTTGAATAAAACATTAACTAATACCTTTCTCATTACTGACTTTTGTTTCACATTTTTGTTCTTATTGTTTTTTAAGTGATAATTGTTTCTTTGCAACCATTGCACCATGAAAGTCTGACTCACAAAATCGATTCCCAACAGAAGAAATGTGTCTCTACTAAAGTGTGCTCCAATCTGAGCTGCTGTTTCTGATTTCTGTGGCTGGCGACACTAAAGATCTTTTCCATTGCAACAAAAATAAACCCATCCTTCTTAAGGGTACATATTTGGGGTGCCGTTGGTAAAGTTACATAGTCAAAAATTACCACCAATATTTTTGTTTTATTTAGCCTTTTATAAGAAAAAAAGAACAGATTTATTTTTCAAAGTCAGTTTTTCACTATATGATTCATACATTTATAAAGGTCATTGTTTATAAACTAAATATTTAACTTACAAATCAAATATTTAATTAACAAGCTAAATATTTAACTTGTGACTT